ACGTATATCATTTTAACTCATGTAGAATAAATTCGTGTGTTTTTAGCTTTCAAATTAACTAATTTTTATCTTGTTACATGTATTATTTATAATACAATAATAATTTTTTTCATTACGATTTTTTTTGTTACAGACTGTATATAAAGGCCCTCAAAAACATCAATAAAAAGACAGAATAAAATTGTGTACAAGTCTTCTCCAAGTAAATTAGGCTTGTAAAATTGTTGTAATTAATTGTGGTTAGGTCCTTTAATCCAAAAAAGGCATTAATATCGTTAAAACAGCATATTGATTGATTGTAAGACTTTTAGCTAGAGAAAGCAAATAAGTCATCAAATGTTTGTATTTTATAAAATGGATAAACTTCTTTAATAAGAAGTAAATACAAATTTAATCCGTGAATATGCTCAGAAAACGCCTATTCTATTATATTCACGGATTAAATTTGTATTTACTTCTTAGTAAAGAAGTTTATTCATTTTATAAAATACAAACATTTGATGACTTTAGATTTTATACACCATACCGATATAAATATTTTTTTGACTAATTTATCCTGTTATTATCAAGATTCTTTGGATATATAGTTACTATATGGTTTGGCAAAAGTTTACAATGACTTTTGATTACTTTTTGTTAATGCTATAGGTTTCTCAGGCAATACTAGTTTAATTAACGTCAATGCGAAAATTTAGGGATATACATGTAACTAAAAACCAAATGTTGGAGTTAATTGTTGAGATTTACTGTTTTGTATATAGTGCAGGACAGCAAGACATCCAATACTGCGCCAAAAATGCCAATTTTAATTTTAGATTTTATATAATAATTAATCTAACCAATCAGAATTCTTTATTTTTATTAATAAAATCTTTAAATCATTATAAATTTAAAATAAAGTCTTACAGAATTGCAGTTTTATCAAAAAGCTATTAATTTGTAAGAGGAATTTTTTATATAATTATTGTGACAGATTAAAACGAAACCAGATTAAAATGAAATCAGATTATAATAAAATCAAATCAAAATAAAATTTGGCTCTTTTTTTATGAAATAAAATTTTCAGAGAAGGGTTAGGGTTAGGTTAGAATATAGAGTATAGCATTAAAATCTGTAATATATTTATTGACCTATGATTATTTAAACATCCCACTCTGTTTCGTTTCATTTTAATCCGCCACAATTATTAATTATTAAAATTGGATGTTCTTTTGCTATATAACGATAATAGCAATAACTACTCTTTAGTTATAATAGTTATTTTAAGAATTATAAAATTTAATTTTACAAATTATTTATTAAATAATAAAGAAGTTTTATATAATGTGAAGCTAACATACATTTTCAGAAGAGATCTTTTTTTAAAAGGAATAAATGACATATTTATATATTAAAAGCAAATATTTCTTGATTTACTAACTAAAACAAATCAATAGACATTCTGAAAATAGACAACACACTCGTCCAGTAATAATTTTTCAACCAAGTACATGTATTTATCGTATCAGTACGTATACATTTTATACACGTGATGCATACCATACTGATCTGGTTATCCATATCATATTGATATTCGCATTACCCTTCAAATACATGTAATATAAAGTTTGAATTGAAATCATACAAAAAAGTCAGTATCATCCAATCACTTAAATGAGTAAATTCAAGCTTAAAATTTAATATAACAAACCAACAGATATTTCAAAAAATAATTTAAATATGTGTGGTGCTGGAAGTCTATACTCAATAATCACGAGAGATCTTTAAAACGCATCAACTTTTTGTAGAAATGATATTTTAAAATCTGACCGGTAACTTTATAGAGCTCGTTACAAAGAACAAAGTTACCGGTCAGTTTTTTAAAATTTCATTTTTACAAAAAGTTGATGCGTTTTAAAGACCTCTCGTGATTGTTGAGTATAGACTTCCAGCACCATATAACACAAGTTAAGTGTATTAATGCTTCTAATAATACTGTACTATTTCATGTATTTTAAAAGGGCTAGGTATGGGTTAAGTTCGGAATATGGGTTATTTTAGGATTTATTTAGCATAGTACAATACAAAAATCAAGACAGTACAGTATAGTACAATTTATAATCCTACCAGTAGTATGTGTTATTGGTACGTGTTAAGCTTATTCCTATACCATACTCATCCGGTTAATATTCAATAGACCCGTATTTGAATTAATAATCTCTATAAAATAGAATTTTGTTATAGTTTAAAAACAATATATTATTACAAATAATCCAATTTTAAACCTCAAACATGTGTATTGACCAGCTAAATACGTATAAGTAACAATTAATCTGGCATAGACCAATAAAAATGTGCAAAACAAATCCAATGCATGCAAATAAAACATGTGAAAAACATGGAAAGTGGATGTTACATTTAACTTGGTACACTAATTAAAAATGTCGGGGAGACAATTTTTCATATAATCTTGACTTTAAACCTAACCTGATCTTAAATCATCTTTAACGTTAATTAACAATAACCAGGGTGCGCAAAGTGCATGAGTGCACCATTTAATTATTCTATTATTTCAATTTAATTTTCTCAGAAAATATCTAATCAAAAACACTTAATTTTTTTTAGTTTAAAAAGTATGCTTTACATTCAAATATAGGATCACGATCAAAACTATCAGCCACCACTCGTACCATCCGAAATATTTATAATAAATCAGAACGAGATAAAATTTGTGTAATAACTTAAAGTAGAATATGATGTGTTTTACACGCATCGACAGCTTTCGGTTGACCCTTTAATGCTGCCATCCTGAGATAATATGCACCTTTTTCCCTATTTAGAATTACTCCATTTCCATTGAAATACATGTTCCCAACGTTATACATAGCTGTTGAGTTTCCATTATCTGCAGATTTCAAAAAATATTCCACGGCTAATGATCCATTTTTTTCGATACCTTCGCCATTCCATAGACAATTGCCATATCGAAGTTGAGCCTCAGGCATATCCATATCAGCTGTTTCTTTAAAATATTGTGCAGCTCGTACTATTGTGTTTTGGCGTTGCTCGTGAGTTTCTTTGTTATTTAAGCAATTATAATACAAATAATAGCCGACCCAATATTTCGCTGTAGAATCGCCCAAATTCGCATAGTAGCGAAATATTTCATATGCTTCTTTACGATCGCCACCTTTGATTTTATGAATTTTAATGGCATCTTGAACAGTATAGAAGGGTCTTGGATTTGACGGAAAAAGAGTCGTTGGATATATATTAGGGTGTTGTGTAGCTGGAAGATGTATTTTGGAAAGATCAAATAGATCCATAAATATAGTCGTAAGAATTGGGCGATTCCTAGGATTAAAGGCTGTAGCTAATCGATAATAAAGAAATAAACATTATTAATTAATATACATGTATTAGTAATATTAATAATTTTAAAATTACTTTTATAAACAATCTCTTCCCATTTATTTGGAACTTGTAATGGTAAAGAAAGTGGCTCTCGTTTATTTTCAAGAACCCTCTGACGAATTTTTACAATATCATTATCAAGATATTGAAATGGAACCCTTTGTTCAGCTATTTCCCAGAGAAGCACTCCAAAACTATAAAATAAAATTAATAAGA